TATTCAATAGGATAAAATTGATTGAGTGTAATTTTTGCTGTTCACTAAAAAAATATCAAAATTTTATCTCATTGAAGAATTAATGAAATGAATAACAAGGATTCGAAAATGATTTGCATATTTTGCTAAAAAAAAAAAAAAAAAGAACATAAATTAAAAAATGTTATAATTTAATTTTATTAAATACATATATTTTAAATATGTTTCAATTAAAACTAATATTAGATTAATATGTTTCCTTTTTTTTATGGATCACATATATGTGTTACACTAAATATTTAAGTATAATAAGTATGCGTGGAAAGTTTGGTATTCGACTCGACGAATCATACTACGTCGTTTCTAATCTCCTCGTTATCTTTTAGCCATGCCTATCGATAATCTCGACGATAGTGATTCATACTCGATCGTAAAACGATGTCAAAGCTTTTAAAATTAATCTAATCGAATTGAATTTCCTATCGATTTATCGAGACCAATTCTTATATTTATTAATTTTTATTTTTCATTTCGTTTTATTGTTTATTTTTATATATTTGTGCATCAAATAATCGAATAATACTACGAAGTACGAGGTTATACTATTTTTTTTTTAAATGAATCAATTTTTATTTAAATTTCCCGCCAATAAAGATCAAAGTTTTGATTTTTGTACCAAAAACTGGTTTCGTTTTTCTTCTCACGTCAAATAAACTTATACATATATGCATATATATATATATATATAATATATTACTTATACATATATAAATATATATGTGTACAAATAGATATATAAATATATATAAGTATGCATAATAGGTTTCATAAACATTCGCGCGAGCAAAGTTTCGTCGTAGGTTTGTTGCTTCTTTCGCAAGAAGGAAGAACCGCGAAATGCTATCATCGTTGGTCGTTTGCTAGCGGTGCCAGCGGCGGGGGTTATCATGTAGGCCACGTGACGTCATATCGTTCTCTGCCGCCAACAAAATGGCTGCCGTTGTATCTCGGTAGCGGGTCAGAACGGAAAAATAAAAATTTCTTCCTCTTAAGTATACGTGGAAGTGTATAAATACTTGATTTTATCTACTACTCATATAACTTTTAATATATCTAACTGAACATGTATTTGTTTACTTTATCGATAATATTAATTCATATTGTCGAAATAACTGATTTAACCTACAACAACCAATATGGCGCTTAGATTTCTTACTCTGATAATTTTAAACTTTTCATTTGTTCATCTTATTGGAAGAAAAAATACAATTTATATGAAATAGAAAAATTTATTTGTAAACCAATCTGAATTTCTTGGCTGCAAACTGAAATAAACTGATTCTAAACACACTATATTAAATATTATTAATAGTTAAATTAATGTGCAAAGATCGCTCTACGAATTCCCGAATAGACTGATTTATTCATTTATTCGCATAATTAATATTGAAATATTAGAAAATAATAATATGCATTATCATATACAGATATAATATTTGTTGAGGAGGGGGTGGGTGGTATTATATCTTCGCAAAGAATATATGACGAATATCAAAACGAAGGGAGGAAGGAGCGTTGCGTGGCGCGTCGGCAGTGTCGATCATGTGACCTTGACGCGACAGAGTTTTGAACGATGAAGTTTGCCGCCGGTGTTAAAAAAAAAAAAAAATACCAGAAAATAAACCATAGGTGTGCACACCACGTGTGTTACGATCGAACCGATAATCGTTAAACGCGCGGATATTTTTTTTTATTTTTCGCAGTTAGAAAAAAAAGTTTGAGAGCTTTGACGTTGGAATTTCACGAGTTTCCATCGAATCGAAGATATTGTATATTATGCATGTGTTTATAAACCTTTGTGTGTGTGTGTGTGTGTGTGTGTGTATGCGTACGTATGCATATGTGTATGTATTGTTTATCTATATCTTTCTCTGCAAACTTCCTCCACCGTCCTTCTTCATCCCCATACCCCCAGGAAAGCTTTCTCCTCTTTCGTTTCTACCTCGTGCTTTTGGCGGTCACGCGAATAAGCCATTTGCCGAGAATCACGAGCGACTTTTTGCGTTGACGTTCATCGTATTTCTGTGTGTGTGTGTGTGTGTGTGTATTATTCTCTTTTTACAACGCAATGTACGAATTAAATAATACAAAAAAAGAGGGGGAAAGGGAGTAAACGAACACTACCAAACGTGTACGCGAACGTCAACTAAATCGTCGTATCTCATTAATTTTATCTTATTTATTTTTTGTATTTTTTTTTCGGGGTGTATGTTGGTTAATATTATTTTTTAATGTAAATCGCATGTAACAATAATTTTACGAAGTATTAGTTGATCTTTTTTTAAATAATCAGATACGATTGATCTCATTCGTTTGAGTTAATTTATATATAGTATGTTGTGTTTTGATAATAATCATATTTTATTCTATACTTTCTATGTGTTCGCAGATTATTTTTCTTTTCGAAAGAATCAGATTAGATCGATATCATTTATATAAACCAAATTTACGTAGTTGATAATAATTATGTGTATATATATTTTCTTTTTTATATTTCTGTTTATTTTTAAATTTGTTTATAAAATACCTGTTTTCTTTTTCATTTTAAGATAAATATGAAAATTATTATCAAAGGATTGAGATAAGATATGCATATTTAATATTGTTATAAATCGTAGATATATAATTTCACATATGAATGGAATAAAAATATTTGTTATTTGATAACACTATTATTATATCATACTAATCAAATATTTTTTTTTTCTTCGTTATCTATAGAAATCATATTTTGTTATTTTTTTTTTTCAAACGTTATAAAACGTGTAATAGCAAATTCCTCTTACAATTAGTTAAAGAATCTCAAAACAATTTTAGATAAGAAAAGAAAACTTGAGTTCTTTATCACAATGTGTGAAAAGAAAAAAAAATGGATTAATAAAATAATCAGAAAAATGTTTGGTGAGAACATTTGGACAATTATTATTCCTTCGCGTACTTTTTTTTTTTCTTATATACACTTGCTTACTTAGTTCGTCGAAGAATCGATCGGATCTCGAAATAACACAGGAAATGTTCTTTCCCTTTGATGCTCTTAGCGCGCGTTCGGGATGAACGTATCGATTTATCGAGACGGACACCACAAATTCTACGTAGTACAAACGACGAGCAGCGAGAACGTCGAACGAAAATGCTGCTAAGAAAATACGATCGATACAATTCCATTCTAGAATCTGGCCCTAACAGACTAACAATAAAACAAACTTAGAAGATTAAGAAAGTAACGATAACGATAATGCATGATAAAGTATCACACAAAGTTAAAGAAAAAAAATACATTCAATTAATAATAAAAAAAATAAAATATCTCAAAAAAAAAAAAGAAACAATAAAAATCGTAACATATCATTAAGCAAAAGTAGCAACCAAGAAACTACCCTAAACGTTTACAATTAATAAAAAAAAAAACTTCGTTTACTCTTGTAAAACAAAATAGAAATAATAAAATCAAATATTAAAAAAAAGTCAAAAGACTTTGGTGGTACGATTTGAAAAAGAAAAAAAAGAAAAAAAAGAAAAAAAAAAAAGGGAAATAAATTCCCTTGGCATGATCAATAATGCCCAATAATAAATATAAACGAATGAACGAATGTGAATATGAGAACGTAATAAAAAAAAACAAACAAACAAACAAAATTACTCGTTTCATCGTAATTAGATAAATGGATGAATGATAAAATCATACATAGGACTAGATCAAAGGTGTTTCGATTGGATAATTAAAAGATGAAGTGTCGAAGGTTCGTTTGATTTTGCGAGCATCATTGGAGACTTGTTATCGATCTATCGAACGTGTGCCAGAGGCTACACTGGCTTCGGACTTAACGGACAAGATGGTAAAATCCACTCTCCGCGGTGTCTGTACGTTCGTTTCTATGTTCGCGTTGGATAATACCAGAGTTCACCTAAATATAACCCCTAAGTAGAAAGAGAGAGAGAGAGAGAGAGAGAAGATGTCGAGAAACTATCAGCTATGCGTGTGACCGTCCTCCACTTATGTAGAAGTGAACTCGAGAGGGTAAAAGACAGAGAAAGAGAAAGAGAGAGAGAGAGAGAAAAAGAGTAGATGTGTGTGTGTATGAGAGAGAGAGAGAGAAATAGAGGATGGCAGAATGGAATAGCTTCGAACTCACAGTAACGTGTCCAGGCTGCGCAGGCAGCTACAGCTACAGCTGCGGACATCACCACGACGATGCATTATTTTGCACGTGGCTTAATACCTACGTATATCTCCAGCCAGATAGCAAGAGAAAAGCAGACTGACGCGGTTTGATGCTCAGCCACGACCCGTTCATTAAATCGGTTTTGGTTTATCGACGCGAATACCATCCATCGGTCGTCGACCCTATTTACAATGAATAATAATATTATATATTTTACTATCTATTTTATCAGTAGCCTTCACACACCCCCGTCAAACCCCAGCCCGTTACCACCACCCAGATAATAAAAAAAAACAAACGAGCATCAATCGAAAACTGAGGTATCTGTCTGTTGATCGATGAAAAATCTTGACAATCGAATACAGATTCATGTATTTATATTTTACGTAATAATATTAAAGAGACTATTGTGTGTAGTATCACATTGTATGATCAAGTATGTATAGATACTCGAGAATGGGATATAATAAAATTAAAAGGAATAAAACATATTTAATCGGTTAAAGTATATTCCGTAAAAGAAAAAAAAAAAAACAAAAATAAATATATATATAATGAATATTTTTCATGAACTTTGACATTGGTGACAAGTTGGGTAGATTTCACATAGAGAAAGATAGTGAAAAACAGGTCTACGTATCAGAATATATCTAAATCTATATGCTCATATATATATATTGTATATATCTGTGTGTATATGTGTATGCACGCTCGTGTGTATGTGTGTGCATGCATGTATCTGTATAAATATATATATATAGATATATTCGTAGTTGGTACATTCTCCCCTAATTCCAGGATCCCGTAGGTGGATTTGGTTCGGCGTCGGGGCGTTCGAAAATTGGTATTGGCGTGGCCTGGAGCGGCAGCAGCCGCAGCACCACCAGCAGTAACAGCAGCAACAGCAACGATAGTAGTACCAGCACCGATGGAAGCACCAGTACCGGGGAGTTTCTACTTGGAACGCCGGTGTGCCGGGGGTATGGCAAGAGAGCGTAACTATAATGAAGGCAACCCCCGTTCCGTCCCACAACACCCCTCGACATCGCCACTGCCATCCCTCCTGCTCACCCCTCTTCCCATCTCGTTGGCCAACCTCCCCTCACCCCCTCTCACCCTCTCACCATTTCACCCCCTCTCTTTCTCTCTCTCTCTCTCACTCTCTCACTCTCTCACTCTCATCTCTCTGTCGTTCTGTCTATCTTGTACGGGGTTATGCGCATGCGCGAGGGTCGAAAGGAAAAAAATCGGCCCGGCTAGGAGAATGGGAGAAACGGTGGAGGAGGAGGATGAGGGAGGATGAGGGAGGAGGATGGAGGGGGGTGGGTGGTCGTATCGATCGCGCTAACATCGGACTCCGTGCTCTGCTCGAGTCCGCTCGAATCCGCTCGAACCCGCTCCAGCTCGCTTCTCTACTACTATTATTACTACTATTACTATTACTACTACTGCTGCTACTACTACTACTACTACTACTACTACTACTATTACTATTACTACTACATTTATACTCTAAAGTTTCCTTCTCTAGTCGATAGTTTCGTGCATGTATTTGTATATATATGTATCTATCTATGAGCAGACAAATGTGGGGACGTTTGTTATGGGGATGTTTCTATAATATCATACATATTATATATCTTTCGATAAAATACTCTAAACATTGTGAATACATTTATACATTTGTTTATGTATATGTATGTATGTATGTATGTATGTATGTATGTATGTATGTATGTAAATAGATAGATGGATAGATAGATGCATATAAATGTATTCAATGTTTTGAGTATTTTATCGATGATATTATTATTTTTAATAGCACGCCAGAGTGTCGTTATATCTATGTATCTATGTGTTTTTATTTTATTTATTCTTTTTTTTGTGTTTTTTTCTTGTTTCTTTATTTTTTTTTTTTTTTTTAAGGTATTTTATAATCGTATAGAGGAGAGACCATCTTTTTTAGATAGGTGAAAAAAAATCATAGTTATTGGGAAAGAAATAGTTTCGTTTTCAATTTGTTATTACTAATTATTTTTTTTTCATCATTATTGCATCGATAGATTGATCGATAAATGTTTATAGATATTTAGAGAATATTTTTTAATAATTTAAGATTAATGAAAGAAGATAGATTAATAGATATTCATAGAAATTTTTATATATTTTA